CTTTATAGCTAAATATGACTTAGATTGGAGGTACGAAATTAAGTATTTCAAAATTCATAACGAAATCTTTAAGACATTAATATGTGTGGAGGATGCTAGAAGTTACATTATTAACAAGAGTTTAATTTAATTTCGAGGTGATGTCAAAATTTGCAACACGGTTACTAACTGCTATGTTTGTAAGATATTTAATTTATGTTAATTAAAAAGTTAATTAATTTAAAGAAATCAAAATGATATAACTCATATAAAAGGAATGAATATTAATTAAATATTTTAATAAGAATTATTCAAATTTAAGAAATAGTGAAATTTAAAGAAAATTGAATGAATCGTTTGATATTTTTGCCAAAGAAATTTATAATTTAGTTTATTTCCAATAAACCTATCGTCAGCTTTAGAGAGGGTCAAAAACCTGTTTATTTATATTATGAATATTTATTATCATGTTGGAGTGTCATTAAAGGCATCATCGATTGACGTGATTCAGGGATCTACGCAACGATGAAATAAACCATGCGAGGAGAAGTATCAGAGATATGCGTGCGCAATGACATTTAAGAAAAAAGAAAAAACCAAAATCCCCACAATCTCCACGATGTCACACATCGTGCGAATATTCTCTGCCATTCCACGAATTTTTCTTGTACAAGCAAGAAGAACTCGCGCATTTTCCTCCGTTTCACGAGACGACGATGCTCGGGCATTCCTTATCCGACACCATAGAGCCGCTCTTCCACCGTCGTTCGTCAACCGGTTTCATTCTGTACGGCCTTACCTTTCGACGTCTTTCTTGGCATCTCCATCACGGTATTTCGCCCAAGCCCACGTTCTATTCTGGTTAGCTTGGGTTTTCCCTGTTCAAGTGCCACCGATCAAGGTCGTCATCTTGGCGTCTGGTGTGTTCTGAGCAAACGCACGACGCATCGTCATTGAAGTTGAGATACCTCCGCGTGATCGATGTTTATTAATGCATCATATATACAACTTCCTCATCTTCTGTAGGATGTTCGACTCTGTTTTTATGGGTATCAATTGAAATAATTCTAATCCGTGATTTTTGCCAAGCAATTCCCTCCTTTTATCATCATGGTTAATTGTTTTATTCGTTACAACGTTATTCATCTAATAATTCCGATATTCGTCGAAAAACTTAGGAAGTCTTTACACTCATTAAGAAATGAGATTTTTTTTGAGGGAAATTCCGAGTTTAAGATTAGTAAAACGGAAGCAGAAATTAAACGAGTTAAGTATCAATTACAATTAGAGGAACGTGCGTCACTAATCTCTGCCTACGAGACAAAAAGGAAACAAAAAGAAAAAAAAGCAGAAAGAGGCATTTATTATAAAAGAAAGAGCCTAGCGTTATGTTATCGTCGTATTATCGATAGTTTACCGAAGACGTGAACTGTGATGTGTTATTCATAGAATTTTACATAATTCTCGGATTGTCGTTCTTTAAAAATATGTCCATAGACAAATATTCGTGTTTGTTATTCCGTTCGTCGATACCGTAATTATTGTGTATTTGTCTATAACAAATTCTCTTAATTTGGATGTCATCATTTGTAAATTGCTGCATTATGAATCTTTCTGAGAATACCTAGCATACATACGATAATGTAATGAATGATAATGTAATCGAATTAAAATATATCCTTTGGATTTGTTTTATGAATGAGTTTCCTCATGATTCACGCGAATTTTTTTTTTAATTCTTTTTTTCCTTTTTATCTTGTATTAAAAGATTAATGACGCAGGGGTCTCTAATTGTAAGTGATATTTATCTCGTTTATTTCCGTATTGTTATTTACTTCAAAATAACTTAATCACTTAAGAGATAATTTAAAAAAACTTCTCTGGGATGAAAATACTCTTCTATTTATAATGTTGATCTTAATGGAATTGTAATTAAATAAGTATTATAAATTGACATTAAATCACTCGATGCGCGGATAATTTTTTTTTATATATATGATTATTTTTATATATATGGTTAAATATTATGTAAGTTTTCGAAAAGTGTTGTTTAGTTGATTATATTGATAAATAAATAGATAAAAGTAATTGACATTAATGAATCCCCAACCTATGTGTAATTTTTCAATACTTGTCGAAATCTCGAAATCTCAATTAAACAAAAATATTTTTTTATTTTTTCTGCCTCAAGATTGCGAATAATTATATCCTCATTAAATCATTAATGTAATAACTTTATATTATGTAGCATTACTAATAACATATTAATCTACTCAGAAAGCACTTAATTTTGTTATCGCCCTTAATTTAATACTCCGCTGTATCTGTAAGATTTATTAAATATTAAATGTTAATTAAAAGACATTAATTAATTTTTCAAGGAATCAAAATAACTCGTATAAAAAAAGAATGAATACTAAATATTTTAATAAGAAATACAAGGAAAAAATATTATATATATGGACATATTTTATATATAATTATATATAATTGTATATAAAATGTTTATTTTTATATAATTATGTATAATTATAATATAATTAGATATATATAATCAATTATATATAATTACATATAATTATGTGTAAAACATTTTTTCCCGGGAATTCAAATTTGCATACGTAAATAAAGATAAAGAAAATAAACGTAAAACAATTGAATTGCTTGTAAATTGAATTCTAATAAAGAGATTAATTGAGTATGTCCACAATCTTACCATCAACTTCAGAAAATTAATAAAATTGACGCTATTAGTAGGACTGATTGTTGAATTGTCTGGTTTAGATTTCTTCAGATTTAACATAATTAGGAATTTTAATGAGAAAGAAGATATAAAATTGCAAAATGTTATTGTAATAAATAAAAATTCAAAATTCTATTTGATACTTCGAGATCGATACCTTTTAGTAGAGAAAGTGAAAAATTTTCTAAAGTTACCAGATCTCAATGTAATCTCAAGGAAATGCCTGGATTCGATAATCGTATATCACGAGAGATAACTATATGTGTATCGACTATCGGTTAGAAACCCTCTTCATCCTTCCATTGACTTTAAAGAAATACTCGGGACACGATTAGGCGATATTTCTCTCTTCAGGTCTTACCTTTTGCGGAATATATGGTGAAGTTTTTCCTTGGTTTTATTTTTTATCTAATCTACTAGCCGTAAAAGACATAAATCTCTCAATGTAGGTATTTTATCTAAAAATATATTACATCTTAATGACGATCAGACATTTGATGTCGCTTGGATCTTTCTAAGCACTAAGATCTTTTCAAATTCTTTAGAATGGAATCTCACTCTAAAAAGTGAAAATTGAGCCAGTTTTGAAAAAAAAATGATTCATTCAATTTTCAATTTTAAAATCGTTATTCATACTTTGTTCTTATTTTAAAATCTTGAATAATATTTTAAGATGCTAATATTATTCTTATGATTGGCTTAAAACATCTCAAGACAATCTTAATATAAGAATTGACTATGAACTGAAACTCTCATCAATTCCGATTAACTTAATCGATATTGTTACATTGGGGACTGATCAATCGTATTTGCTGTTCAGAATTGACTACGGTTGATACTTAATCGACCGATTTCATTAATCAGAGTTGGTGAGATCGGTTCTATGAATATCGGCCTAAAGTCGTAATCACACTACGGATTGCCGGTTCTATTTTAGCCAAGGGTAAAGTCGCCTAATATGAGATACTTTTTTTAAAGACTTATAATTTTAAAGACTTATAATTTAATTTGCAACCTTAAATTCTTATTTTCGTGTTTCTTATTTTCGTCAATTTTATGAGAAATGTATTCAAGATTTATTCACCAAAAGTTAGCAATCGGTAGTAACTATACTTTGTTGTATGTGAAATTTTTTTATCGAAAGTGCCGATTTTGTTCATTCAAAAAAAGGGTTCCTAATGTGAAATACAAGGGTTTTCTTGTATGAGATGATAACTCTCATAATAGAAAACTAAGGAAAAAATAAAGATAAGCTTTTTATATACGCTTTTATTGAATTACATACAAGGAATAAATAATTTGAATGTATACATAATAATTATATAATTTTTTGATATGTATGTATGTATGTGTAAGTAATCTTAACAGTAGAATCATCATTTTTAATATTTCGTTTAATAATATGCTTTGAGATATTGAATTATTTAGATGCTCCCATATTAGCTAGGAATACTCTAAGTATCTCATATTACGACTTCCATGTCTTGCGGTTTCATAATCACCAAATCTTTACAGTTAAACAAATCATTATATCACGTATTCTTCTATTAATACGATCTTACTCTATCACTGCATGCAGACTTTATTACCAAATATTTATTTATTATATAATAAAACAGGTTTGAAGACTAACTTCAATAAAATTCGATAACATCCAATTTCAAGAATCTTTTTTCACAACTATTACACGCATGATTTAATAATGAATTTTCTACTAAATATGTTTCACTATATGAGTAATAAATTCATAATAAAATCAATCACATACGCTTATTAGTTTAGCAGAAATCCCTATCTCATATTGGGAATCTACCCCACAATAGGCGATCTTACCCTTATTTTTTTGAGATTATTTTGTATTTAAATACAATTTTTTTTTAGTATTTTGTATTTTATATTTAAATACAATTTGTTGATTATTTTGCTCACCCCTGATTAAAGGTTGCGATTTACGCGGAGGAAAGCGATGACGTTCGCGGAAAGAGTGCGCAATCGGGATTATCGGGAAAAATTGTCGCTTGTGCGTGCGAAAAAGCGATACGAAAAATTGTGAAATCCCTATTCCTCATGTGTTCTCCACTGACGTCATGGATAGCGATCCGTTGCGACACCATGCATCGACAACAGGTCGCATTTATTCTTTCCGTCCGGCGCGGGCGTCTGCGTCTACCGGTCGCTGCCGGTCCCATCAAGGTGGGGAAGCGCGTGGTTTTCTGTATCCGTAGTGGAAGGCTATAAAGCCCCACCAATCGGTTGTGCCGCCGACAGTTCGCGCGCTTCTCGAAACGATGATGTAGTGCGTGAAAATCGATCGACGCCGAATTATCGGAAAAATCGTGATTTCTTCAACGGTAACCTTTTCACGCGATCACAATTGATCCCGCGAGACAAGCCCTACCAAAGTACTTACATACCCCGTGCTCGAAATATATTTTTTTCGTTTCTTTACTTCATAAATCAGCATCCATAAAGTGAATCTCTGTCTTGTGGATTATTAATTTATCTTTACATAAAAGTGTATCAACTTATTGTGATTCTTTACATTGCTCACTACTTACATTGCGAGAAGACTCAACAGGTAAGAATTGTTCGGCTTCCTTTTAGATAATATCAATCGTCAGATGTCTTTTCTCTTTTTCTTTTTTATGATGGAATAATTTTGAGATAAATGTAAAGATCAAAAAATTTTCTTTTATAAGAAAGGATTTTCTTTCAATTTTTTTTTATATAACAGATATCGATAGAATTGAATGCAATAAAGTTTGAAGATATAATGAAAAATTTTACAAATCTGATACTTTTATAAATATTTAAGTATTGATATGTCGTGTTTATTTTCTAAATGTGTTACTTTCTGATTTTTATATCATGTTATTTATTACATATTCTTTAATCATATGAAGTGTCAGTCATTTATATTTACATTGCCATATGAAATTTCCTATTTCCGTGATAAGAAAATATGTTACGGTTGATAGATCACCCGAAACGGGGCAAGTATTGATTCAATGAAGCAGGTAAAAAGAATATTAATGAAATTATAAGCTGAATTAATGAAGTAAGATATTACAAATTGATCAACGCGACAAGGCGATAATTATAATAGATTCGAATAAATTAGTGGAAGAAATGGATTATTGATCTTCCGTTTCTCTCTGCTATCATATTTTTATTCTTTCTGTCCAACTAAAATTCTTTTACTATTTTAGATTTTTCAAAAATTGTAAAAAAATTTAAGATTACTTTTTAACATCTCCACATTACAAAATAATTTTTTAATATTATTGATATTTTAGGAGAGAGATGACCTGACTCTATCTTCCTTTATTTCGGAGAATTGTTTGAAAGTGAAATTTCGCTTGTGCTAAAAATAGGACTCATATCATAGAGTTCGAGGGTTAATATATTCATTAACGAGATTGCATTAACGAGACTGCATTATTTTTATGATATTTCGATATATTCTTTTTTCTCGTTTCGATTATTTCTTACTTAATGCAAATTGTAATTTCCATTAAAGCAATTCCTGTAAATCCCCGTAAATATACATATTACGCTTTATGAATATCTGATCGCATTATTAATGATTTACTGGCCAGTTTCTTGTATCTCGTCGAGGACGATATGTAATCGCTTCTATACTGAATTAATGTGGCATTCAAATCTTTCATACAACAAATCGTTTCGATATCTTATAAATTTTCAACAACATCATTTTTATTTCTTATTTGACACGAATGACGAGTATATAGTGTGTTGCGGAATTATTTATATTCGTAAGTTTACATAAAGCCGCATATTTTTCTAAATACTTTCGAAGGAAACATTAAGCAAAATTATCAATCACCAACGAGGAATCGTCAAATCGCGCTTGTTGCTTTTAAATAAATTAATCCTGATTTTTAAAATAAATAAGAAGCAAATAAGAACTATCTAAACTCTAAAGGAATGTCGACTGAATTTACAATTTTTGCAAAAATAAACGAGAGAATAAAACGTAAAGAATGAAAATTACAAATATAAATAAGATTCCAAAAGCGAGTATTAAAAAAAATATTCCTTAATATTTATTTTGAATTATTCATATTCTGTATATTTTTTTCTTTACAAACTAGGCTTATTAAGTAATTAATTATAACATTTATATATTGTACAATTTTTTAATAAAGCACACCAGCTTATAAATATTTTTTAAAGATAAATACTTTTTAAACTATGTAAGAATTATTTAATAACCAATATAATAATACAAAAAAAGAGCTAAAGAGAAGGATGTTGTAAAAAAATTAAATAAAATTTAATATTTAATATATTACAATTAGCAAAACTAATTTTGATTTTACATAATTTTTTCAGTCGCATATGAATTACAATTAAACTTTAATTAAACTTAACAAGTCATAATTTAAGAGTTTTAAAATTAAAATGTCAAAAGATAAAAATAAAAGAAATCTCAAAAATAATCGTAAAAGAATTGAGCAGAAAGAAACCTTAAAGAACCCTTCACACAAATGGGTTTCGGTCAAAGTGTTTCAAATTTTAATATTTTAAACAGCTCATGTTAAGCTGATTAAAAGTCCTTATGAACACAAACCTCCAAATGCCTTAGTTTTTGCTGCAGAACCAGGAAAAACTGTCAATCATAATGTCGTGAAAAAAGTATGTTTTTCAATATTTTGAAAGATATTATTGCGATATAAAACATCTTGGAAAAAACTTTATCTTATTTTCTAATTCCAAGATGCATATTAGGATTTCCAAGGAGGCAAGGAGACTCATGAAAATCAAGCATTGTGTTTGTGAGAAGCAAGTAATGTAAATCAAGCATCTCAAAGGAATGAGACGTTCGTCACGTTCACGTTCCGGGTAATTCTGAAAATGATAAACATACCATAAATACATATATAATTATATTATTTGTGTTAGATTGCCCTTGTATTTTATGTATTCGTAATAGTAAAATTTACTCTAATATTCAGATATGGCTTCAAATCAGCTGCTTAGCTGTCTCCCCATCTATTATTGTGTAATTGATATCGAATATTATTGTATATCTGTTTATTTATATTTAACAGTTGCTCAATAAAGTTATTATTATTATTATTATTATTATTATAAATATAGTAGTTATAAGTAAAAAAGATTCTCGATTTTTTTGTACTTGTTCATATAAAATACGAATATTTTTCGAAGATCTCAGAGCAAAAACTAAGACATTTGGAGATTTGTGTGCTCGTGAAGAATTTTAATAGCTTGATATGAGCTACAAAATATTAAAATTTAAAGCAATTTGACCAAAACCCATTTCCCATTTCATTTGAGATTTGTGCGGGGTTCTTTGCAGATAATTCACCGCCGCGCTCTTACATGGCGAAGACTCTCCTTTAATTCATTTAATAATTTTTGTATTATTAGTTAAAGTAATGAAAATTAATCTGACACACAAATAATCCATCGTGTGTAGTTGTGTACTAAGAATTAATATTACGTCATTTTGTTTATATCAATCATGTATAACTTTTTAGCTGACTTTTAGCTAACTTTTACTTTTTTTGCAATTTTTTTTTCTCCAGTGTGGAGAAAAAAAAGAAAGACAAATCGTGCAAGAAGAACAGATCTATTATTTCATGTGACCATGCGACCTTTTTTCCGTCACACTGGATTTATCATACTATTAGCAGTTCGTCGAACTGCCATGCCCATTTCGACTCGATAGTTAGAAAATCCTCTCTTTCGAGATAACTTACAACTTCAATGTCCATTTGTCATTTAGTATTTAACATAAAAATATTATAATTATTTTAATATTATATAAGTATTTAATGTAAAAATATTAGGTGTGGGAAAAAGTTCGTGGCGTTTTTTTAATGCCATCTAACGGGAAAAACGCCACGAACTTTTTTCCTAATATTATAATTAATGACAAAGACCAAGGCTCCTATTCTTGAAAAGAACTGTATATGAAAAATTAAGCAATTATTATTTACAATTAATATATGTAACATATACTATAGTGTTTCTCTAGTTTTTTGTATACATTTCTTTTAAAAAATCGGGCTCCAATTACATGTGCAGCATTCGCTATGTCATAATAACGGTCTTTTGTTTATTCCTATTAGTATCCTTTTTCGTGCGCTCGTCGTCACACACAAATCCGCTCGGCTCATTAGCGGCATAATGAGGTATCTCATCTCGTTATCACATTATGTATTTCATTCTTTGTTCCTGTCTCACATTCTAGCAAATGGGACCTCACGTCCACGTGAATACCTACGATACTCGGCGACCTTTCTTCGTCGTAAGTTGCAATAAACTCTAAGGGTGTCTTATTGTCGCTCTTTCCAGATACTACGACAATGACGGTCATGGTCGAGAACACGAAAATCGAGGAGGGCAACGGTCCCGCGAAGATCGAGACCTTCGACGATATCCTACCGTACGTCGGCGAAGCGAGCAGATACCAGTGGTTCCTGTTTATCCTACTCCTACCATTCACCTTCGTTTACGCCTTTTTATACTTCGCGCAATTCTTCCTCACTCTCGTGCCTGCTGAGCATTGGTGCATGATACCGGAGTTAAATCATTACAATTTCACGGATTTCGAAAAGTAAGTTTAACAAAGAGATGCAATTCTTTTAATATTCTCGATACTTTATGCATTTATATATACATTCAAAAATCAAAGATAAACCTAAAGAATGTTGCACTTTTAGCAATGTGGGTCTTTGAGTTTCAGTGTAGATTTTTATGTTATTCCAGATTGTATAAAAATATGAATGAAAACAATTCTTGTGGAAGCTTTAACAACGAGTTTTTACCATCATAGAAATTAGATTTAAAAATTATCTATTAATAAGATTTTTTTTAGTTCGTAATTGCGCCACTTACGAAATAAACGATAAAACAACGACAAAGAGATAGATTTCTTCATTTGCATTAAATATGACTTAATTTACATCCAAATAATTCTGTCCTTGTGTGTTTTATTTATTTGTTACAGATTTAAATTTATCTATCAGAATTTATAATTAAAACATCAACTTTGCCAAAGTCCAAATTAACTGACCGTTAAATATTAGGTGTGGGAAAAAGTTCGTGGCGTTTTTCCCGTTAGATGTAACGGGAAAAACGCCACGAACTTTTTCCCACACTTAATATTCATGAATAAAAATGGAATATTTAGATGTTTACATAATTAACACTTGCGTGGATTTTTGAGGTATATGTATCTTTGTACAAACGAGATTGAATGACAAAAGATTTCCCAAATTAACAGTGCACGAGACAGTTTTGTAATAATGAGGAATGAAAAGTGGAAAGTTGTGAAATTCTCTTCATCCTCATTTCATAACGACAGTTCAAGTCCGGTCGGTTCGAGCTGACCAAGACCTTGGGCCACGGTCGGCTTGACTTATATATAGATTCACCCTTGTTGTATTTTTTGTATATAGTTTGCATATAGTGTGTCTCAAATTTCTTACACTGTTTTGTCTTTTTTACAGAAACGATACCGAGAATTATTAACGATTAACGATCTTTAAAAAAATTCATGAAAAATTCGAAATACCGCATTTTAAATCGCATTAATAAATAAATTTAAATTAAATTAAATTTAAATTAAATTAAATTTAAATTAAATTGAATTTTAAAAATTATCTATTAATAAAGTTTTAGTTCATAAATGCGCCACTTAAGAAATAAACGATAAAACAACGATAAAACAAAGAGATAGATTTCTTCATTTGCATTAAATACTTAATTTACATCCAAATAATTCTGTCCTTCCATGCAAAAAATGTTTTTCTGGAATAAGAAGTATGATTACGCCTAATTATATTATATTTTTTGTAAGCTTTTTTCCATAAACGTGTTACACAAATGGATTAATTGCTTTTTTTATCTTCTTTTTTACAACAGAAATTACAAACGGACGTGAGTGAGTCAAAATCATTTATTCGACAAACGAATAATTTCCAAATTCTGATAAACATGTTTTTCATTAACGTAATTTTTCTGTATTTCTAAATATTTCAGAATAATCTAATCATCCAGTATTTTTAGTACAATACGTCATATGGAGATATATAATTGAACCAGACTGCATGACTGTTACGTAGGAAAATCCGTCGTTGCGATTGTACGTGATTCAAATCACTTGATCAATAGTTTCTCCGTATTTGAAGTTACAGAAAACTTGTTTGGTTGTCGACCTCGAAGGGATTTCTCGGGAATTTCACGAGAGAAACAGAGAGGGAGAAAGAAAGTAGAAGATGGAAGAATCTCTTTTTTCCATTGAAAAGCTACCTGGGAACGTAGATACTTTTCATTCCTTCCTTTCTTCCTTCTTTCTTTCGAAACCACAGAGTTTCTTTGGGAAACGCAAAATGTTATTAAAATTAATCATTATATGACTTAAAATGATAACCGCCAATGAAAATAAAAGGAGATAAGTTTGATAGATCTAACACTTCGGAGAAATAGCAGAAAATTGTGCCTCTTAAAAATAAAATTGTTATTTTATATCTTCCGTGAGATTTATGGAACGTATAGAACGCGTAGTCACATTACTCGGGCAAAAATGGTACGTCCCTAAAGGCAATATCGAAGAACCTATCTGCTGTCGCGTTAGCATATAAACTCGCACGTAACACTGGTCGTAGATTATAATAAGTTTGCCATTTATTTGACCCAAGTCACTCGGTTTTTTTTTGTCGCTGGCTTTATTACATGCGCTATCAGAAATTAGATGGTATTATGCGTCATCCACAATATTATGCGGAATAAGCTTAATCTTATTAAGAAATAAGAATAAAATCGGTATTCATAGTCGGTTCCTATTTTAAAATCGTCTTAAGTAATATTAAATTTAAATACTAGAAATTTAAAATACCTACGCTCGAAGCTGGATCTTCATTGCTTTAAATTTTAAGACGCAGTGCTTTGATTAGTTGTGATACCACAAGACTGATTTAAGATGATCTTGAATATAAAAACTGATTATGAATATCGGCCTAAGATATTGACTAATCATAGGATCGGTTTTACCAACTCTGATTAATTTAATCGATCGATTGTTACATTGGAACTGACCAATTGCATTTGCTGTTCAGTAGAATTGATACAGTTAACACTTAATCGACCGATTAGGTTAATCGGAGTTGGTGAGACCGGCTCATCGATCATTCAACTGTGGTTATTGCAAGAACCAATCACAGTAAAATATTCTCCTCACATTCGACTGTGATTGGGCAATTCTTACAACTATAACTACTTACAACTGCGCTTACGCAATTGTAGAATGGACTTTAAACCAAGCTTACTCCGTATATTGTAGATGATGCACGTTAGAAGCGCATATACAGATTTATTGTTTTCTTAATGATTTTGTTTACGTCTGGATTACGACAGGATTGCGATAGGGATACCTCCAGCTACCAACGAAGAATTGAAGCTGGAGAGCGTGACATCGTTCTCGAGATGCTACATGTACGACGTAAATTATACCGAGCTGCTCGAGCAAGGTGTCAGACAAGCCAATCTGTCGTGGCCGATAGTCCGATGCAAGCAAGGATGGACCTTCAACCACACAATGATAACGTATGCTTCGATCGCCACTGAGGTATCTAAAACGCCATTATCACTCGCCATAAATCACTGTCGCCGTGACTAATTGATTAATTTATCGACTGACGCATTCAACAAGATGTCAAAGATGTGGTTTAGCACTCCGCATTTTTTATCCTTTATATTTTTTCGCCAAGCGCGCAGCTTTATTGTAATCTTTTTATACGAAGCGAAAAAGAAACCGATAATCGTTCATATACTGGTATATTTTTTGATGTTGCGTAACAGAGAGAGAAAAAAATCGATTACCATATTGATGACGTCAGCGAACAGTTTATTAGTACTTTCCATCAATATAAAGTATCAATATAAAGTATATCTTTGCTTATACGTTAATTGACGCTATTTGCTATCCAATGCAATTCAATCTTCTTAATATTACAATTTTATAAGGTTAGAGATGTACTTGATACAAATTATTTATACAATAAAAATTTCTTCTCGGTATTCTATCGCGACATATCCTTTACAGAAATTTAATATTGGAAGGCAACGATTAATTACTTTGAATATTAAAAACATTGTTGTTCAGTACTTTTTAAAATTCTTAGTACGATTGGATCATTTGTGTTCTACACATTTATTTTCTTTAATATACTATTTACAAGTTTCGCAATAATTAACAAGATATTAATTATTAAATATCGCCGAATATCGATATTCAATAATTTTTTACTGAAGTACTATCAATTTTATAGAAAAACAAATGGCAAAAATGATTTATTTTCTTCTTATAGAGAATTTTCAGAGAATTTTTTAAGAATTTTTTAGTATCGCATTTTCTCATGTTTTAAAAATAGTTGCCAATATAAAAAAATGCAACACTGAAAAGTTAATTAAAAAATTCTGGAAAAATTCTTAGAGCTCTATGAGAAAAAAATAATTTTTGTCTTTTGCTATTTTTCTGTAAACTTGATAATACTCGAGTAAAAAAGTATTAAAAATCAATATTTGATTATTTTTAGTAATTGATATTTTGTTAATTGTGAAAATTACAAAATGGTAGAAAATTTTTCGATTCAGTTTAGTCCGCTCTATCACTATGCGAGATATAAAATACTATCTAAAGATGTTAAAGAGTATAAAGAATCACTTAATTTTTATATATTTATTAAAGTGATAAAAATTAAGTTGAGACACAAATGATCTATTGTGTGTAATAAAAGTGTGTGAAAAAATTTTCGATGTACTAACTCTCTAAATTCTTTGGAATGGAATCTCATTCTAAAAAGCGGCTCAATTTTTAATCTTTAAAATTGAGATTTTATTCTTCAAAGTAAAATTTATTCTAAAACTTTTAGAGAGAAAAAGGTTAATACTCAAAATAAGTAATTTTCAGTAGTAATTGGCCAATATAAAAAATTGAATTTCTATAAGGGATCCACCTACAGATTCTAATAAATAAATATCGTGGATATAGTATTATTAATAACAGTAGGTAATCTCTTCGCGATTATAACAATATGTATCATGTCGCCAGCTCGAATGGGTTTGCGACAAGACTTTCCTCGGTTCCGCAGCTCAGTCAGCCTTCTTCGTTGGCAGCATTATCGGTGGCCTGATATTCGGCTATATAGCTGATCACTACGGCAGAATCCCAGCATTAGTGTCTTGCAACGCAGTAGGTTTCTTTGCCTCTATCGCGACGGCCTTCTGCAATAGTTTTTGGTCCTTCTGCGTCGCAAGGCTAATTGTCGGTTCATCATTCGACAATTGCTTCAACGTACTCTTCATTATCGGTACGTATCGTCGTGATCGAATGAAAAATTATGAAGAACTTAAATGAATTTTCTGTCCAAATCAAGCAGCTTATTAAGGAGATACGAATAGGTATTTTTATAACTATTGATCAATAGCTTTGATTAAAAATACTTTAAATTTCCGATTTGAATTCTGAAGTAGAATTTTCTATATATGGATGAAAATTATTATTGTGATACTTCAGTCATCATTATTGACGATAACTTTGATCGCAGTGATCGAGTACGTCGGTCCGAAGTATCGAACTCTGGTGGCAAACATGTCCTTTGGGATTTACTTTGCGGCCGCCGCTAGTCTCTTACCATGGATTGCATATTGGATCGCAGATTGGAGAATTTTAAGCGTTGTCACCGCATTTCCGATGATCGTCGCTTTCCTCGGCCCGTGGCTTGTCCCAGAAAGTGCACGGTACTTGTCTCTTATTATTATATAAAATTTGTAATAAATTAAAAATAATAGACTCTTAATAAAAAACAATAGACTGAAAGAGCAATGAGAGTATAAATGCAGATCATAAGGCGCAAAAGATACAATTTTAAAGTAATTATAATTATAAGTTTAAGAATTTATAATTACAAAGTCACTGCATACAAATATTCGGACGTTTTGACTTTGGAGTCATCTTCAGCGAACATAAATCGGGTAATGGTTTACATCCCTCGCAGTAATTAAATAGCCAGTCATTCGGATTACAAGATCCAAAGTGGAATCTATTAAAGTAATTGTCGAAATAACAACATCTATATACAATCAGAAAATAAGATCTATTTTTTAAAAGAAATTTGTAAGTAATAGAATGACTCGTCGTACTGCAACGTAAGACATATCGACAAAAAAGAAAGAAAATATGAATAAAACAGAATGTCTGCATGAATTTGTAATATAAATTATCTTGTATGAAATAAAATTATTTATTTATATGCTGTATAGTATTATTAATAACAGTAGGTAATCTCAAGTATACATACGCGCGCGCGCGCGCGCGCGCGTGTGTGTGTGTGTGTGTGTGTGTAGATTCTGATAGATACGTAATAGTTCGGTTTATTCTGTATTTTTAGATGGTACATCATGAGCGGTAACATTGACAAGGCGATCGGGATGTTAAAGAAATTCGCGAAGGTTAATGGGAAGGAAGTCAAGCAGGAGGTGTTCGAGGCATTTGAAAAAAGTTGCAAGAACATAATCGAAAAAGATCAATCGCACAATCAGTACACGGTCCTGCATCTCTTCAAGTTGCCCCGACTGGCTCGCATCACTGTCATGCTTGTTATTTACTGGTAAGTGTCAGAGAGATTAGATTCAATCTATTTACCCTCATTTGAAACGATTATTGATCGAATAATTGTTTTCAGGTTGTTGATCATTCTGGTGTTCGACGGACACGTTTGGAACATGAAGCTGTTGCACCCCGATGTGTTCACGTCATTCTCCATAGCCGCGCTGACCGAGCTTCCGGCGGCGATTCTGCTGGCACTTTTCCTTGATAGATGGGGTAGACGATGGATGGGTTTCGCTTCTATGTTCATATGCGGCGTATTCTCTTTGATTGCCATTGGTACTCCCGTCGGTAAGTTACATTATCACTCACGAATCTCATGATGTTAAATAAACTTTGTAGTTATAGACTTGTCATCATCAGGTTTATCCGTCTTCATCGTCAGAACAATACAGGAAAATTGTTTTAGATTGCAAACAAATATAAAAAATAAAACGAGAACCCGCGAAAATATGAGATCTTTGATTTTATCGGTCTGTGATCTAAGTTTGTTTGGATCGTAAACTAGTATGGATCAATTGCTTTTTATTTTTCTTTGAGAATTATTGACATCAGGTTCATTTAGCAAAAGTCGGCCAATATTAAGTAGAAACGATTTTAAATCACAAATATAAAAGACATACGATAATAAACAAAATATTTTGATAAAGGGCCGAGAATAAAATTGAACAAATTTAAAATGAAGAAAGAATTGAGGCGGAATAACTGGTGAATGCGACTAACAAATGTAACATTTACAAATGTTACATTTACATAATCCACGATATTTCAGGTACACTAACCGTCACCATGGCGATTTTGGCGCGCCTCGGTGTCAATATCGCTGCGAATATCGGTTTCCAATACGCGGCCGAGATGTTGCCGACCGTAGTGCGGGCACAAGGTGTGTCTCTAATTCACATTATTGGCTACATCGCTCACATCGTCGGACCTTATGTGATTTATCTGGTAAAGTATCACGAAAATCCGCGAGATCTTACTTGTACACGATATCGTAATGAATGGAATCCAGTGGCCAGGTCGATTAATTAAGTTAATAGTCATTATTTTTTTTAGGCTGATGTTAACCAAAATTTACCATTGATAGTTCTTGGTCTCTTATCGTTTTTTGATGCGTTCTTAACACTAGCGCTACCTGAAACCTTGGACCAGGATTTGCCCGAAACTCTGCAGGAGGGTAACGACTTTGGCATAGATCAAAGCTTTTGGTGGATACCCTGCATATCCTCGTAAGTTATCCTTTGTTTCGTTTTTTCTCTCTTTCTTCCTTCTTAATTTTTATCTCTTTTGTTGGATTCAGATAAAAAAAATATCAAGATTCTTCGTATTTTTATCTCGTAATAATTTTGTTTTATCTCTTTACTTACGAAATTGTTGAAATTGTTGCAGAACCCCGAAATTGAAGAAATCCTTGAGGAAGAAGAAGAAGGAAGGCATGACGAACGCGGCTTTCCATCACGGCAGTATTCAAACTATCGACTGTACGAGATTATAACGACTGTTCGCATGATAATTTAACAAATTCTTTTTGTTGTAAATATTGTGACCAAGTCGCCCGCGTATGTGATTTTATGTGTTAATTACATGACACGATGGACATGTCAAGTGCGCTCAATGGTGAAGTGGAATACAAAAACCAAGTAAGAATGCGAGATACAATTGTATCCATGTATCCAATGAGGTGCACGCTTGGATGGACACGAACACGAACGTGAATGCGCAACTTCAAAGTCGATGTGACTGTCTTGAGAGTGCCAGATTGCTTTTTCGAATCGTTTCCTCGCGACACGACTTTGACTTTCGATTCGTCGCTCTTTTCTGCATCCGTGTGTACAAAGCTATTTCATTAAGCATAATTTTAGCGAGACTGAAGTGACGAACGAGCTGACTTATCCGTATCACGAGGATCGAGAGTGTAATATCAACGAATCCAATTTTTTACATTATACAAAGTAAAACCTAATGTGCCAAAATGCCGTATTTTTATTTGAGTAAACATGAATATCGCGTACATGTAGATATTCATATATTCGTTTGCTACAAACTCAACGGAATTAAAAATTACAAAGGGTTCATCCCTTTGCTCATTGTTCCTTGTCTTTCTGAAGAACAACGTCTTTGGTATATACAAGATAACTGATTTTACTGAGATATAAATATGAAGAATTATGTTGCTTTGTTATTGTATTTTTGGAAGAATACAATAAATGAACAAATTACATAAATGAACAAATAATATAAATAAATAAAAGAAATGCCTTCATTTTCTTGATGTATCATCAAGAGTTGTTGCGATAGCAAACGAATTAATTATGTAAGTAGCTTTTAGATAATTTATAATTTATAATGTATATACGGCATTCATCGCATACATATATTTCTCATCTTTCACTGCCAAATATGGAAATTTCTTTGTAAATTGAAAGATGTTTATACCATTTCACTCATTGCTATCTAAAGATGATTAAGTAATAATAAAATAAAAGGACGAATTATTTTGACTTCTTGTAAAACTTTGCATTATAATGCATTTGCTTTCAAAAATAAATCCTACCAAAAAATGCTCCTCAATCGAAAGATCATTCTGACTTTATCTTTGAATTTTATTAATTTTATTAATAAATTTTATTAATTGTACAAATCTTAATTACTTATATTATCACGTACCACGCAACGCGCAAGATTCTTTCTTTCTTTTAATTATATTTTCTCGACGGTTATGCCGAGGTCTTATGTAATAAAAATTAAAAAGACTATAATTCGGTTGAATGATAATATCGTTGTCGATTCGAACGCGGTCGGGTAATGTCGCAGCAGGGTAGCGTCCAGAAGCTTTGTCCCTTTCCGAAGTCCTCTCCTTGACGTAGAGTCTGCGGGAGATCGCGACCAAGCGTTTCCGGTAGGAATAGTATTAGGGCAGCGGCTGCAAATGACACGATGCTGATGATCATCATCGGCAGCCAGTACCAAATCTTGGCCTGAAACAATTTCAATTAATTGACTAAATATCGAGCGACGCGAATAGAGCTTGTATTTTTGTCTTCAATGAAAGGTCAATATTTCTATCAATATTTATTTTGCATTGATGATATATGACGATTTAAACATTAATTAAATTGAAAGTAAATGCGATATAACATGCGATACGATATTTAATATTCAAAGTTATAAATTGAATCAACTTTTTTAATCATTCTCCTATATTTCAATACAAATAATATAGCTATAAAAATTTATAATAGAATATATTTTTTATATAATTCCATAATTATATAATATGTAAAACAGTTTTCTAATAATATTATTAATTACATATGCATATAATGAAATAGTTGCATCAGAATTCTATAACATCCTTTGTTCATAACTAAAGAATACGAAAGCTGACTTACACTATCCACCACATATGGCGCAATGGAATGGGCAATAATGCCAAAAATGTGGATCAATGCAACACCTTGCGTCCTAATAGGAGTCGGCAACAGCTCGGCGGCGTACTGAAGGCCCACATTGGCTGCCATATTCAGGCAAAATCGCGAGAGCACCGACATCGTCAGCTTCCCTGCGACTGAACAATAAAACACATGAGATGAGAGATTGTGGCGCGATTGCGAACCGCTTGATTTTATTTGAAAGCCCGTGTGTATGTGCTCACTCGAGTGTAATAGCAGTTCGGCGAAGCTGAAAAGGCAAGTCATGGCCAGGGTGATAAATCCGCAGAATCGGCGACCCCAGCGGTCCAATAGCAACGTCAGCAACAGCCCGGCCGGCAGCTCGGTCGAACAGGCGAGGGAGAAGGACACAAACACCGAACTCGGGAGCAGCTTGAGGGAGTATACGTGGCCGTCGAAAGCTATCACCGTCAAGGACCTAGAAAGTACCGAAAGTACATCCGTAACTTCGTCGCCGTACGCGACGTATCTAATGCATTAAAGTGGAAAGTGGAATATAGCGTCCGTTCTTGAAGTAGCAGGGCAGTATAAATTTAGCGGATGAGATCTGATACTCCCCGTCAAACTTTGAAACTACATGAAAGAACGATTTTTCTGAAGCATGTAAGAATTTAGATGGATACAGATCCGAAAATAATTTTGTTTGGACTATCAAAATAATCATGTAGGACTCAAGCTAGTTGCTAGAATGTTAAAACTTTATACAGCATTATTAATCATGCTTTTCTACAACATTATTTTAATGATTAAACAAATTATTTTTAAATCTATATCTAGCTAAATTTTTATTTCAGTAAAACTTTTCCATATATTTCCGAAAAAAGAAACTTAAAATATATCTCCTCGCGAGAGATGGAGATATAATATCTTCAAAAATTAATATTCTGCGAAATCAAGAAAAATATATCAAAGAAGAAAGCTAAGACATTTTTTTGCAATAAAGTTATTTACAGGTTATAAGATGTTTATCAGCATTAGATTATTAAGATCTTTCTAAGATGCTTATGAGCACCAATATTATTAAATTGCCTGTCAATTTAATTTGTGATATTATTATACTTCAGTTCTGTTAGAATTACGTTTCAAGATAGAAAATTAAATTCGGCATATACTTTACAAGATTAAATATAAATATATAAATTCACACCGAATTATTTAAGCACTAAAAAAGATCTAGCTTATTTAAAGCCTTTATTTCCTATTTCCATTTGTTGTGTATTCATATTATGGTAAAAAGATATTTTATTTGATAAAATTTATAAAGAAGAAGACAATGAAATGAAAAGGAGAAATGAAATTTCTTACCAAAAGAAGATTAGTAGAATAGTATTTTTTGCTAAACGCGGTGACTTCAGAATATCAAAGATGGTCGCACTTTCTCTCTGAGTATCAGTTGCGGTCAAATTTCTCTGTAAATATGATAAGGTGGATGATGCACGATTTGTGTCGCAGATTCACGTTCCAGCTTTCTCATTATCAATCTTACTTACGACGAAGATCTCGAAGATGCGCGTGTCAGGGCATTTCTTGTTGATCTTCGCTATCCGCTGCAACTTCTGCAGCATTTTATCTATTCTGCCGTTGGCGACGAACCATCTTAATAGCAAAACAGTGTTCTACATTTCAGCGGAAAGTTCGAAGAACGCAGAACGGATAACAGTGAAACTAATAATGACGAACTTACAACTGTATGAATTTCTAAGAGCGATATGAATCTTTAGAAATTGCAGCGCTGCGTTTAAGGATTGTAAATCTCATTTTGATAAAATTTGATTTATATTAAAATATGTATGTAAAATATGTAATATGTATAATTTGCAAAATTAATTGCGCTTTGATTACTGCGTCGCACTCGCGTTAATCTTGTTCCTTTATTCTCATTTAAACATTGCATTTATTCAATTTCAATCGGAGAGATATGAAATCCTTTTCCGCAATGTTTTGATTACAAAGTTATGTAAATAATTACTATATATTTATAATGGAAGTTTAATTTGTGTGAGATTGAGAAGATTGAGTGGAATAAATTGATCATTCGTATCATATTTATTTACCGAGCGCTTTCAGGAAGAATCCATGGTGTAATAAAGACACTCATCATCGGGATTGCGCTAACATAGGCGAAGAATTTCCAGTTTGCGACATAGTACGCAATCCATGGCAGAATTGTGCTTCCAGCAGCGAAGTATATGCCGAATGCAACATTAACGACAAGGGTTCGTCTCTTCACGGCCATGTACTCGAGCACTGGCGAGATTCAGGATTTGATTCATTAAACCAAACCAAAATAAAAAAAGTATCGGTATATTCAATTTAATAGATTAAAATAGCATGCAACTTCTTCTAATAATCTTTCGGAATCAGTACTTAAAAAATTATATGTTCCTTGTCTGAAGAAGAAGCCATCACGTCTCTCTGCCGAGAGACTAAAAATAAGAAAAAAAAGAAGAACACCTGCAATTAATAGGTCACACAAAAAATTTGATGAAATTACGTATAAAATGAGTTGCGCGCCATAATATTTGCGCCCACAAATATTTATGAAACACATCTTTCATCTCAGGCAATTTTTTTTGTAATCTACACTCAATACCATTCATTATAATATACGGACACGTGCGCATATTATTGCCATAAAGATCTTAGTCCAGATTTATATAAGATATTTTTAAAAAATAAAAAATACTGCGTATCTTCACATGTAATTTTGAAGATATCAGAACAGAATTCTTTTATTCATACACAGTTTTTCTGATTAATTTGTGATTTAGATTTAATTTCATTTATTCTAATGATAACGTAAAAAAAATTGTATTTTTCTACAAGTTATGTTTACCCAGCAAATGAGAATGGATTAAAATGGATTGAAATTTTTTTCTATCCGAATGCGTATTTTAAACAGCAGATACTTTTTTTGGATTTAATTGGATTCAATTGGATGCAATTGGATTGAAAAACTGCATTTCTTATTCAAAATTTTTAATTGAACAGTATTCACAATGTGTGTTGTGCACAGAAAAAGCTAATGTTATTTTTAGATTGAAAAGCAGATATGCTCTATGCAATTCCTATAAATGAATAAAAATGCATTCAGAATTGAAAAGTATTTATTTTAACATTCGTGAATCAATATTTCTGAAAATCTGAATCCATTTCAATTCATTTCAATCCATTCTCGTTTGCTAGGTAATCATTAAACTAAGTAGTATTGCAATGATAACTTTAAAAACATTTACAATAATTACAATTATACAAAAATAATACTCAACGTTTTATTTTCTATAAAATTATCAGTTTAATGATTAAACTAAAAAAATTTTTTTTACAATTTTCACAATTTTTGCATTATTATCAGATCAAGTCTAAACACAAGTTAATCAAAGAATGAAAAAGCGAGTCTTAGGATGGATTTAGACCTAGATAAAAAAGCAGAAAGCAGAAAAGCGGCAATCAATTGAAGAATTCACACTGATAGTCGCTGGTTTCAGCTTTCCGTGCTATTTACTGCTAGCTCATGTTTTGATTGGCTGCTGCTTTTCTGTCAAGATCTGAATCTACCCTTAGTGTAAACAATACAGACAATTATCGCGTGGCTGATTATTTCTTGTTGATCGCTCACCGATAATCAGTGGAATGTTGATGCAATTGTCGAAAGCCAGACCAGTGAAAAATCTACAGACAGCGAAGGACCAGAAAGTATTCGCACTCGCAGTTGCGATCGAAGCCAGGAGTCCGATGCCATTGCAGAGCATTAAAGCAGGGATCCGGCCTCTGTGATCGGCGACCCATCCGAAGAGCAAGCCACCGACGATGGAACCGCAGAAGAAGATCGACTGTGCCATCGATATGAGGTACTCTTGGTCACATACCCAATCTAGCTGATCACAAAGGGTCCAGAATCAGTGCGTGAGAAATGCAATGTGTATTATATGATGTTTCTACATTTCATACAGGAGTTACGTTTTATTTTTATCTTAGTTAGTAAACAACTAAAAATAACGTAACATTAATGATTGCGTTCAGCAGAGTAAGCAGTTTTACAACTGTTATAAAATTCTTTAATATAATTAGTTTTATATATTTAGATAATGAGAAACTGGAAAAAACTAATTATATTAAAAAATTTTATAACAGTTGTAAAGCTGCTTTATCTGCATCCAACGCATTCAATTTTACACTCAACAATGTATCTGTTACAATATGTATTATATTGCATTTAGTATATATTGCTGAGAGTGCAATTATAACGCATTGATGTTATATTATTTTTAATTAGTGTTTACTGAGTTTTACTATTCCTTCGTCTCTCCTCGGATTTTATTTTGCAGTAGATAATGTAGATTGAAATTACGCAAGAAATGCAACGTTTTCTGCAATTATGCATCTACTTGTTATGCAAAATTTATTTTTATCTTATTTCTTTGTCTCTCTCTTGTCTCTTGTCGATTATTCACATATTATTCTACAATGGATTACGATTGGAATTACGGGAAAGAACGCTCGTAATCTCAATTAATCGCACAACAGTTTTACAAGAGTACTCGCGAATCTTGATTCTCTCTTCCACATATTTTATACATACAGTAACGCACTCAAAGATACTTCACCTCAGTCGCTATGCTAGCATAAGGGATCTGCGTGAAATTGTATTCCCATTGGTTGCAATCCACGGTTTTGTTTGCCTTCCATTCGATCGAGTGATTGTCTTTCCTACGATTTACAAAAGCGAAGAAATCCAAATCCCTTCGATGGCATTGGTCGTAGTACGGATAATTCTGCGACCTTGGTACGCCAATCTCCACTCTGAAAATATTGATTTCTAATGTACGAAATATATTTTTAAAGATAAGAAGATAATAACATGCTTGCAAAGGGAAAAATAAACTTTAAAGCCACTTTTAAAACAATTTTGTTCCTTAATCCAAAATTTTTTTATAAATTATAGATTCATACATTATTTATAGTAATAATTATCAACGCAGCATAATTATGTGTGGTAATAATTTTTGATTGAAATCTATAATCAAACAATGAAATGTGACAAACAATGAAATAAATTGATGGTCAATAAAATCTTAATTAACGAGCGAAAATCTAGTGATCATTCGCAGTCAAAATATATAAATTGAGAGTATTATTGTCGTCAACGCATCAATTCAAATGAATTCGATTGACGATAATAAGATACGCTCAGTATTAAGATCTTGTCTATTCTAAAACGACATTATAATTTATATTTTGACCACAGACTTATTTAAATAGATTGCTGACTCAATGCGATAGAAAGAGATAAATCTGATTCCAAGCTGTCCTTTTTTCCATGTATAGGTATGCGTTCTGTCTGTGAGTATCGTGTGAATTTATCCATATAATTTATACATATGGGAGTGAGAAAATTTAAATATGTCGTTGCCCAGCATTGTCTTCAAAGATAGAAACAAAGTCTTTAGGCAGACTACTATCTCTACTTATAGAAGTCCGTGATTTTGACTGTGAATGATCACTAGACTTTCACTTGTTAAGTGAAGATTTTGTTAACCATCGATTACTAATCAATAGACAAATCATATAACTGAGAACAGGGACTCGTCAATGGAAAAGTCGTAAAAATCTATATGTAAAAACTATTACATTTTTGCAACAATAGAAAGACATTTCAAACACAAGAATCACCTCGTTTCACCTTCGTTTATGATTTTATTATAGAATTCAATCACAAAAATCGTTATCACACGTAACTATGTTGCGTTGGTAATTAATTATTAGTATTATTTAAATTTGCTAAAGATTGACCTGTGAGTTCCAAAACGTATTTTGTTTAGTGTAACTTGATAACATTTTAATTGACATCTGAAATATTGTAGCTCGATTACTGACCGTTAGTTAATTTAATTTATTTATTGCTTTGAATAATAATTATGTTAGAAGTAAGATAAAATATATAATTTTGTTTTGGGATCTTAACAAATGCCATTGCCACGCAATTAAATTTTACCTTTCTTCCTGCGTGAGGTTTGAAGATATTAATTCCTCTATCTTGCACCAATGTTCCTGCGGTACCAGAGTAAGAAAAAACTGCGAGAAGTACAGGGTGGCGTATGCTATGCTATAGGGAAGCAAGGCCAATAGAAGCAGCCATTGATATCTACCAAAGTCACCGACGTACGGCAAGATATCATCGAAGGTCTCCAACTTTGACCTTGTCAATGTGACGCTTTCATTCGAATCTGCAGTATCTATGGGATTCTTCACGCCATTCGAGTTCTTCATTGTCCTGAGGGATGATTAAGATTTGATACGCTAGATTTATATTTAACGAAATTGAAGAAGGGAAAGAAAAAAACGAACTCAATAAACTATACTAATAAAAGAAAAAAATTGTTTAATTGTTTGAAATATTTTACTAATCTCAAATTGTATGGAAACTCAATTTAAAAGATATATAAGAAAAATAATGTAAACTAACTGTAATTATACAAAACTGAAACTAGACTATGTATATCTTTTTTAATACGCAAGAAAATATTTATTTTAGGGTGAAAGAAATTCTTGCTAACATTGTTTAATGTTTGCTCTATAATATAAGTGATATGTTGCGCTATTTAAGTAAATTGAGCAAACATCCGATAAAAATAAGCGGATTCTATCAATTACTTTTATTATAACCGACTTAGGACACAGTGCAAAGTCCATGCAATATATATCTTCATAGAGATGTCAAACGACTTGAGTTGAAGATCTGAGCAGCTAGTGTTGTCCGAACGTGACAGGATCAAGTGGCTTGTTACACGCGTCTTGATCGAGATAATAATGAAGATCGAGCACAAGTTTGACGATCCGACGCGAGATTAACAATGCTTTTATATCTACTTAATATGATAATGATATGATAATGATAATGCAGATAATATTAGATATTACGTAGAGAATTATATTAGACATTGTATCCAAAAAAATGTTGAAAATACATAATAGTGTTAAAAATTTTCGGAACGTACCTGCTAAATTAAGAACTTTGCTATATTTTATTATATTTTAAAATTCTAAATTCCTTGTTAATTGCAAATAATATTTAAATGGTAGTAATATTTAAATGGTTTCTGAATGCTTAATGTTATTCTATTATTTCCCGCGCTGCAAGCAAATTATAAGTAGCTTATATTACGAAACCAAAATGACATTAATATAACTCAATATATTACGTACTTTATTTTTTCAAGAAACTAATGCCTGAAAGTTCTGTTTGTGGATAGTGTCAACATCATTACTTTTTATTCTTGAGAATCGAAAACATCGGGTCCGTGACTCTTAGCGATTATGTGTATCTGCGGCAAGCACCCCAAAGAAATAGTGACGTTCAGAATCGACGAGATATCAAAAGTTATGGTTAAGGGTCAATGATAACGTAAATATTGGAGCGACCAACCAGTAGGCCGACATCGGCCTGATAATGTAACGAAAATAATTTTTAAGAAAACTAGATCGTTGCCAGATTGCTACATGTCGCTAATCAGTTGGTTTCTTAATAGAATAGGCGATTAGATTATTAACCCAATCATCGTCGCTATTGATTATAAAATTTTATCGCCAAAATAATATGTAAGTAATAAGAATAATAATCATATAAGAATAAGGGTCTTAGGCTCGGTTGCACCAACGTTACTTTAATTTTAAGCGAAGCTTAAAACTTTCTTTGTTCCTGTTCGGTTTTAAAACGAGACATAGAGAGAGTTTTAAGTCTCGTTTAAAGTCAAAGCAACTGGGCCTTAGATTTATAAATATCTAATATAATATTTTTCATGTACGTAATTATGTGTATAAGCATCGATTTCGAAAATAATGCAGAACTCAACGCGCATGTAAATATTTATAAAATACTTATTGCAAACTTACATTGCCGTTTTCCGGCTGACTGTTCTAACTAAAGTTAAACGAGTTCCGTTAACATTGTTGTAAAAGAATTTTATGGCTGCAATGTGCTTGTTAGCTACTTATATTTTATCAAAGTAAACTTTTTTTTTTTACTTAAAAAGAAGTATCGTCATGACTATATTTATAAATACGCGAACATCATGCATGTTAAATATTCTCCACGAAGTTGGTTACTAATAATCGATCGATGATTCTGTGTCTTAACATTGCCTGAACTTCATTTTAAATCAAATTGAATAAATAATAAAGGTGTCTTCAGAAAATCCTAGTCTTTATATTATATTTATATTTTTTACGATACTTTAATTGTAATTATTGCAGATTTATAACTCAAATTTTCACTTTTCTCCTTCCTTTCTTCCTTTTTTTTAGAGAAAATTTTTATTATTTAATATCTTTCAATATTACACTTATCTGTGTCTCTTACTCATTTCTACTTATCTTTAAATTGAAATAATTTCTATGCTATTTGACTCTTATAAATTTTCAAGTTTTAATAAGTTGCGTATTCAAGACTACTAATTGCATATATCATATTAAAACTGTTAATACTTACGTTTTTAATCTTTCGTTGCACTATTTATTCTTTTCTCATATATATATATATAT